AGGGGGATAGCACAAGACTTAGATCTCCTCGTTGCTGGAGATACCAAGTACTCACCTTTGCAAGAAAGCGTTGTGCGTGTTGTGGTGGTCTAAAGTTTGTCCTAAACTGGGCAAGTTAAATTGTGACAAGATGACACAAGACGCCTACAGCCAAGGAGCATGAATAGAAAAGCCTTGGCTCCAGCCTATCTGCCCGCTTACGTTGTAGTTAAATGTGTAACCTGTACAGATCTCAGGGTGTAGGCATGGGGGACTTGCCGACCGAGCTAGGAGTTTGGACTGGAGCTGCTGGTGCTGCGGGTAACCTGCTGTGTCTCCCTTCAGGCACAGGCTACATCGATAATGTGACCTTGGTGTCAGCGCAACCTGCACCTGGAGTCCCCGCTCCCTGGGTGGAGCACTGCGACTGTCCTGCAGGGTACCAGGGGCAGTTCTGCGAGCGATGTGCTCCTGGGTACAAGAGAGAAGCTTCCAACCTGGGGCCTTTTGGCATCTGTGTGCTGTGCAACTGCCAGGGGGGAGGAATTTGTGATCCAGATACTGGTAAGGAAAGCCACAGCCACGCTGTGCTAGGGCACATGGGACTGTAGGACAACTGCTGTGTCCTGAGAGTGCAAGAGGGAGCGTGGGGTAGCGTTGAGGAGTGATAGATACCTGGCTCTGGGGATGCAGGCTGGAGCGCAGGAAGTGTCGTGGATAAAACTCCCCAAAACCTAGAAGAGCTGCTGCCAAACATGCAGAAAACGATGCATTGGAATCCAAGCTAGTTTAGACTACGCTGATTGCAAAGAGAGAAACATTTCCCACCATCTGGATAACATTACAATTTTTTTCTCTGACCTTTGTTCTAAAAGTAAGTGTTGGGCAAATAGGTATCACAAGTGAGTAACGTGAAAAAGTTTTACTGCCTGTCTTGTCAAAATAGCCTACAGTATTGCAATGTAAAGTCAAAGTAATGTACTTTTTGCCTTGTAAAAATGACTTGATTTGGTGGATCCTAAATCAACTCCCCCACCTCAAAACCTCCTTCTGTGAATGCTAAATGTCCCCTCTTCTGTTCTGATTCAAAATGAAAAGTTAGTTAAATTGTTAGCGTTTTCCAGGAGGTGGCAAGTCCTGTTTTCTGGCTTTGACCGTCAAGTATGCAAGTGTTGAACAGGAGAGTGCGGCTCCTAAGGAGTTGTACAAACTATGAAAGATCCACACGTTTTTGTCATGAATGTTGTGACCTCAAGGCCTTGTGTGATCCCAGCCACTGCAGTCATTCAGAACTCGCCTACTTGGCCAGTGTGACTGGCAGAAAAGCAGAGCTTCAGTACGCTGCTCCGAACCTGTCCTGTCACAGGAGCGGTGAGTGCTCCCGGTGTGAAGGACTGAGCAATGGAGAAAAGGAGTGTGTCGGGGTATGTGGTCAGGCCAGGGAGATTGCAGTGCTCCAGGAGAGGGTACTGGCCTACAGGCACTTGTGGTGCATTGGGTGGCAGGAGACAGCAGCGAGTCCTGCAGCATGCCCGCCAATAAGGGATCCCAAGGAGGGGTCTACCCATGCACCTGGGGGTGTTGTGGAAGGTGTCCTACTGAGGAGCAAAAGGGGTGAGAGCAAACTGGCTGCCACAAGCCCTTTCCTTCCTCCCTCAGGTGAATGTTACTCTGGAGATGAAAATGTGGGCAATAGTATCAGCTGCCCATTTGGCTCCTACAGAGACCCGCGGTATCCTCACACCTGTAGGCCATGCCCATGCGAAAATGGCCAAAGCTGCTCTGTGACACCGGGCGGAGAAGTTGTCTGTGATCACTGCCCTCCTGGAGCCACTGGTAATGTCTTTGTTTAGTTTGTTTTTAATCAGCCTTTCTCCAGGGCCTGGTGGTGCTGGGAAGGGGAAGGATGAACGATGGTGGTGTTCCTTCAGCGGGCCCTGATGTTAGCCTGTCCCCAGAGTAGGGCTGAGCTTTACTCTGCCTCAGGATGAGAGGCAGGTGTTTGTGGTCCAGGATGCTCGATGTCAGGCAGGTCGTTGCATCTCCTCAGCCTGGCTTGCCCACGTGAGCACCATTTGGTTTGTATCTTGGTGTTTCAGCAAAGCACCAGGATCCATCCTGTACCCATGCGTGCCCTGAAGAAGCTGTAGTCTAAATGGATAACGTAGATGGAGAAGCGGATCGGTAGGGAAGGTAGGGGGAAATGGAGGCACGAAAAATAGGAAATGACTTGCCCAAGGTGAGCCATTACACCCAGCTTTCCAGAGCCTGTCCAGTGCTTTGTGTGTCGGACCTGGCAGCCTACAAACACGCTCCTGCCTGAATTCTGTTCCTCAGCCCTTGCTCCCGTCTCTCTCCTCAGCAGAGTTAGGAGGTGAGGGGTCTCCTGGGAGAGGCTGGCTCCTTGGATTTCTGGAAGCCGTGAATTTGCCCTTCGCTGCGCAGGAAGAGCAGGTTCCTCTCAGAGAGAGTAAAGCTACTGTTGTGTGGGCCCTGGCCTCACAGGGCACAGCAAGGCCAGATGACACCTGCACCTCCATGGGGCAGAGGGAGTTAGTTGGCCTTTGGGTTTCATTCTGGAGCATGACTGTTGCTTTGTCTCTCCTTTCTCAGGTGCCAACTGTGAGTACTGTGCCGATGGCTATTTTGGAGACCCCTCAGCTTCCAGGCCGTGCCAGCCTTGCCAGTGTAACGATAACATTGAGCCCAATGCTGTGGGGAACTGTAACCGCCAGACCGGCGAATGCCTGAAATGCATCTACAACACGGCTGGCTTCTACTGTGACCGCTGCAAAGAGGGCTTCTTTGGGAACCCCTTGGCCCCCAACCCCGCAGACAAGTGCAGAGGTACAAACGCCCTGTGAAGAACGTGCATGTGTGTCGGGGGGAGGGTATGTTGTGAGGGGCTGTACTCAGTACAAGAGGTTTCTTCCCACCAGCTGAAGCCCAAAGCCATGTGGTCAAAGGCATGGCTCCTGAGGAGCTGCAAATCTGAGAAATGTAAAGCAGCTTCATACTAGGGCCCACTCTTGCCATATATGAACAAATCTGTGCTGGAGGATGCGCCTATTTGAATAAAGGAACTGGAGAGGAGAGGGAAACCCTTGCTGGCATGCAAGGAGGTTGAATGCAAAGGGACTATGCGTTTGCACTTTGGCCTTGCGGCTTTTCTCGTTTGCTCTATGCTTCCAACAAAGGCTTGGGCCAGTCGCGGAGGTGCCGGCTGGTGTTTGTACTTGGAGTGTTTACTAGAGCGGAGCCAAGGGACGCTGAATACTTCCAGTGTTTTCCAAGCCAGCTAATGTTTCTGTTAAGTGCCAGCAGCACGGGAAGGAGGTGTACATTCCTGAGCGGAGGGAGATTAAGTAGGATTTGAGTGCCATGGGTACGTCAGCCCCGCAAAGGCCTCGGGAAGGTGGCTGCTACAAAAGCTGCTAGTGACGGTAGAAAGTGGAAGTCAAAGGCAGGAACCCAGAGCATGGGAAGGATTTGCTTACAGAGGGGGTTCATAGGCTGAAAAAGGACTTTGAAAAGCAGTCAAAGGATTTTGGTGAGTACAATCTCAGCTTACCTCAGCACAGCGTCTACAGCAGCGCTGCGCCCCTGCCACAGTCACCCCGTGTACTGGTTCAGGAGCACTTTAAGGTGCCAGTAACAGCTCTGTTAGCTTCCGCTGGCGTGTCCTAGGCACTGGGCAGGCTAAAACCTCTTCTAAGAGCAAATAGCCAAAAGATTTGGAGGAGAGAAGCACTGAAGGTGCCAGAGGTTACAGCAGCACACTTGGAGGTACAGCTGGAGGGGTGACAGTGAAAGTAGCGTCTGTGGATGAAAGATGGGGAAACAAGACTGGAGGAAATCAGAGGAAGGTAATGAGTGGAGAGATGTGCCGGGACTAAAGTTGAGGAACGCTCCTCTGAGTCTGTGCTGCCTTCAACCTGCTGTTGTGCCTTGCAGCCTGCAACTGCAACTCAGTTGGTGCCGAGCCCCTGAAGTGCCGAAGTGATGGGAGCTGCGTTTGCAAGCCTGGCTTCGAGGGCCCCAACTGCGAGCACAATGAGTGCCCGGCCTGCTACAGCCAGGTGAAAGCACAGGTAGGTACGTGTGTTTGTCAGCCTCAGCATCTGTGCTACAAATTCCAGGTCTCTAGACAGGGAGCTGTGCTGGTGCTTTTCAAGCAAACCTAGAGGTTGCAAAGAGCTTACCTAGAAATGGGAACCAGAAAATTATCCTTTTCAGAAATGGGGCAGATTAGCTCTCTCCCCTCGGGAGCTCAGACAAGAACTGGCATGTTGCTTGCAAACAGTGTGGGGCAGGTGTGGGCTCTATGTTTATAGCTGTTGTCTTCCTGTTAGCTCCGCTCTGGACAGAGATCGTCTTTTCAACCTGAGAGATATTCAGTCGGTGTTTGAACTTGGCACTGGGTTAAAAGACAGGAGGGGAGATTCTTCTTCTTTCCTGGGTTTTCCTCTTCCTTCTTCCAAAGCACAATGTGGAAATTTATTCAGAAGTGCTCAGCTTGCTTCCATTAGGCGTGAATCTTTCTTGCTGTATACTAGCTGAGAAGCTAGGCACTAGAATTGCAGCCAGCCCAGATCTGTAGAGCCCAGAAGTGGTTACTCTCCGTTGTCTGGCTGCCAGTAGGCAAATCTCTGATGGTGTGGTCCTACCGGCTCTAAGTGGTAGCCTTGACATGGCCGGGATCAGCAAGGCGGTGACTGAAAAGAAAGGGGAGCAGAAACACTGTTACCTTCTAGCGTCTTGTCCTGGCCTCCCCGAAAGAGTGAAAACTGGTTTTGCAGGCTGTGCCTGAAGTTTATTTTTGTGTCGTTGGTTGAGCTGACAGAGAACGACAGCCTTCTAGGGCTGCTGGCTTGCTGTGTTCCATAGCGAGCCCTATTCACCCCAAATATGAGGCCTTACTCTCTTTTCAATCCCCTGTCCTCTGCTAGACTATAGATCTGGCTCATGGCCTTCGCACCTTGGCTTTGGTATCCCACTCACTGATGGCTTGATCTGCTTTGGTCGTAGGTGGACCTGTACTTGCAGCAGCTGCAGGAGCTAGAGCTGCTTTTCTCAGAGGTGCAGGCTGGCAGCGGGGTCGGGAGCGAGGACCTGGAGGGGAAGATGCAGCTGGCTGAGGAAACGCTGCGAGCCATCCTCAGAGAAGCCTTGAGCCTACAAGGTACGACCCGACTGCTCCCCTTGGATGGGGCTGGAGGAACAGGAAGGGAGGCAGGCAACTACTTGGGGGTGCTTCAGTAGATCGAGAGGAGGGGAAGATATTGGTCTCCTAAAGAGATGTCCTGCTGGGGCAGTTGTCTGTTCTTCCCTGAGTGCATGCGTTGCAAGGGACTGACAAGCACACGTGTGTTTGTGTGGCGGGGAGGGAGGAAATCTGTCAGACTGGAGTAGGTTTTTGCTTCAGTGACCTTTTGCTTCAGTAGGCCTTTTTGCTCAGAGATGGGCTTCTATCTAACCACTGCCTCTCTCTCGCTATCTTGCCAGCCTCTGACAAATCTCTGGAAAGTCGTGTATCCAGAATGAAGGGGCAAGAGTCCAGTTACCAGAGCCGCTTGGATGACATCAGGGCAACGGTGGAGAGACTGAGGTTTCTTGGGAGCCGGTATGAGAAGCAGGTGCAGGACATTCAGCGGCTGCTGGAGAGAGCAAGGGTGGACCTGGACCGAAGTGGAGCCACTCTGAGTAGAGTTGTAAGAGCATCCTCATGTGATACACTCTTAGTTCAGCCCAGCCACCAGGTTGAAAAAGCCTGTGAAGATGTGAAAATTAAACGTATTTCAGTTATTACAGTCATTTGGAAGTAGAGGAGCAATTCTGGTGAATGTTACTGGCCCCTTGCTGTCAGGCTGGGAATTTCTGTTTTTTATGAGGAGCCGCTGGCAAAGGTCTTCGGAGAGCTTTGGAGGCTTAACACGCTCCAGTCACTTTTTTCATTGCTAAATCAGAAGTGAGGACAGGGAAGAGCATTCACACCTCTCTTCCTCTCTCCTCAGACTATTCCAATTTCAGAATTCCCTGGAGGCTCAAATAAGTTCCTGATCCTGGCGCAGGAGGCTCTGAGATTAGCCAACAGGTGAGTCAGTCCTTGCATTGGTTAAACCAAGAAAAAAGGCCAAGGGGACTGAGACCCTTCTGGGGACCCAGAGGGTCCCTGTTTAGGGACCTTACCTGGCGCTGAGATTGCAGCTCCTGTGAACTCTGTGCCGGTCCTGGTGCAGGGAAAGGTGCGTCTGCTGGGTTGCCTTTGCTGACCTAAAAAGCTGTTCCCTGTTTCCTTTTGAGAGTGGTGTTGGGTGGCATATTCTGGAAGTATCTTTCTGGTCAGTGTTTGATCTATGGGCATCCAGTTGGAACAGGCTGCTGTGTCTTTCCCTGGTGCTCCTCTACCCTTGAAGAACGCAGGAAGGACCGGCAAAGTACATGACCACAGGTGTGGACCCCCTTCTCAAACATGTTATGTTTCTGAGGAAGATCTGTTCCAGCATCGCTGAATAAAATGACAAAGGAATTTGGTGGAAGAAACTCAGGTGGCCGTGGGAAGCTTTTTATTACAAGGCAATTATTTATTGCTTTTCAGCCACATGGAAGCAGCCAACACGATTGAGCAAGCAGCAAAGGCAGCACAGGATGACTCGCAGCAGGCGCTGGAGCTGGTGCGCTCAGCTGTGAGTGGAGGGGCAGTCGTGTCAAGCTCCTTGCAAGGGCTGCTCAGGAAGTAAGTTCAGAGTGTGCTCGCATGCGTGTCTCAGGGGGGCAAAAGGAGGAGGATGTTGGGGTGAGGAGAGGGGTAGCAAAGTGTCCATGCCCTGTTCCACACCTCCTCAGTTAAGTATCAGAAAAATGCAGATGGAGACAGGACACTAGGACAGAAAGGAGCTGCTTTGTTTGAGGACTTATTTGCATGCCTCAGCAGCCAAGGTTTAGTGTAAGCAGCTCTGCAGAACATCTGCTTCCCACCCCACAGACCACGATGGCCCCTGTTGACCTGACCACAGCTGTGGGAGAAGGTTTAACCCTATGTGTGTGTGAACAGGCTGAGCAGGCTCCTGGGAGATGACTTCTAAGCACAGCGCAGGCTGACTTTTGGGGCCAGCACAGCCCTATTGCAGATCTATGCTGGATTTATCCCAAGGATAGACCCCATGTTATCTGGGCAGATTAGTCTGGTAGCAGCAACTGAGTTGGTTGGAAGAGGGAATGGAGGTGTAAGCTCTCTGGAAGGGGCTGGTGGCTTTGCCCTGTGCCTGTCCAGAGCTCACCATAGTGCTGGGCCTTTGTGGCACCAGCGTGGTAGTCTGTAAGAAGTAAAGGAGCTGAATGGGGATGTACAGGAAAAAAACTACAGTGGTACAGCAGGGATTAGCAAAGCTACTGTGGAGCCTAAGTGTTCATTTATACAAACCTGCTCTACAGAATGATTGAGAAACCAGCCCCCTTTAAGATCTGCTGTGTTAGCAAAACAAATCACAGGTAACTTGAAAGCTGCAGCTTCCAGATGAGCCCTGGTCTAAAATACCTTTGGTTTCTGAAGTGTGAGCCTCTCTTGGCTGAGGGGTTGAAAAACGGGGATTGTTTCATCGCACTGAGAAGGCTAATTAAAGTCTATTGGGCCTTGGAGAGAGCTCAGGAAGTACTCACATGCCCATCAAATAAGTAAATGTAGGAGACTGCATTAATACTGTGGCAAGAGTTTGGCTATTTGGCTGTTGCCCTGTTACCTCTGGCCCCATCAAGAAGACTGAGACTCTTCTCAGTGGTGTAGGCCTATTGCCTCTTGCCCTATTCTCGTTGCCAGCAATAGGGCAAGAGGCAACGGGCACAAACTGAAACACAGGAAAGTCCATATGCACGTGAGGAAATACTTTTTCACTGTGAGGGTGACTGAGCGCTGGACCAGGTTGCCCAGAGAGGTTGTGGAGTCTCCTTCCCTGGAGATATTCAAAAGCCATCTGGCCACAATCCTGGGCAATGTGCTCTAGGTGACCCTGCATGAGCTGGGGGGTTGGACTAGATGACCTCCAGAGGTTCCCTTCCAGCCTCAGCCATTCTGTGATTCTGTGCTCTGTGCAGATACGAAGAGGTGAAATCATTGGCAGGAGACCTGGAGGCTGAAGCTGATAGAACAGCCTCTGAGGCAGACAAGGCTTATCAGGGCAGCCTGATGCTCCTCAACTCCCTGTCCCGCTTGATGAAGACTGACACTGGGTCCTTTGAGGTGAGAACTTTGTGCCTGTGCACGTGGGACCAAGAAAAACCCCCTTTCATCCTCCTCCAAGCCCTTGCTACTGCCTCTGCCCCTGCCCTTCCATCCCCTAAGCCCTTTCCAGTGATCCATCTCCTCATCCTGGTTGGAGAAGTTTTGGTTGTGCATGTTTTCACCCTTTTACCCATGCAGCTCGCTGTGGCATAGGTACCATATGCAAACATCTGTTGGTCCCTGCTTGCTGTGGTTCCCAGGGAGCAACAAGGAGACCTCCAAGATAGCAATCACATCTTTGCTTTTCAGGGGGAGGCAACCCGTCTGAAGCAAGAAGCAAACACTCTCATGAGCATGGTGGACACATATATGGCAGGGTACAGGCAGCTGCAAAGCCGTACAGGCCGCTGGGAAGAAGAAATCAAGCAGCTGTTGCAAAGAGGAGAAGGCGAGAGAGCGGTAAGACATTGACTGTGTTGCTGCAATTATTCCTGTGTTGTGTTCTGCAACTTGAGTCATCTTCAGGTCGAGCTGGGGTCCTGGGCCGGTAAGTCTACGTGAATTGAAGTTGCTATGTGCTGTCCCAGCCTGTTCTTCAAAAGGGATGGTAGCTCACTGTCTGCTGCAGGATGGCACCTTTCCTCAGAAGTAGAGCCAGGCTGGGTTGGTCCCATCCTCTTCTGGCTCCACTGGAGCCAACTGAAGATGTCACCGTGTGCTCAGAGCTGCTTGTGCGGTTTCTCACTAACACGTTCCCTCTGTGAGAAGCAGGTTAAAGGCCTGCTCCTGAAAAGGTTTTGAGCTAAGATGACTGCTGATGTCTGGAGTTGGTTAAGCAGCACTCATGCAAGCCTGGGCTGACGGACAAGAGGCTCTGGTAACGTTGAGTCAGGGACAACAGCAGGTGTTGGGAACAAACTGATGGACAGCAGTCTTCTCGCACAGCATGGCGTCTTGTGCGCTGCACCTGTGCTAGTGACACAGTGCCTGTGACTGCTCACGGGCCAGTCTGACACTCCTGTACTGTAAACTTGATCTGCTCTTTCTTTGTGTCTCCTCTGGCCTGTCACAGGCATTGAGTCGGCTGCTATTCCGAGCCAACCTCGCCAGGAGCACAGCCCAGGAAGCAGTGAGTGCTGGCAACGCCACGTTTTACGAAGTGGAACAGATTCTGAAGAGCCTCAGAGGTAACTTTCTTCGTACCGATCTATTACCTATGTTGAAGTTTCATGTTAAAAAACTAAACTCATTGAACATGCTACAAACTGCCCTTTCGAGAGTTGTGCTCGAGTGCCAGGGTAGTGGGCAGCCCGTTTCTTTGAATTGTACCTGTGATCAGGACAGCTTCCACAGGGCCCAGTGATCGTTTCAGGCACACCCCAACCTGTTCAACAGCTCCTATGAGAAGGAGCAAACACTTGTAGGAATTTTTCTCTCTGGCAATTGCCCATCTCCCCGTTTCTTTCCAGTGCTGTCCCCACGATAGCCAGACTTTTATGTGGGAGGGAGAATAGGTACGTCTAACGCAAGCCATGACTGAGGAAAAGCTTTTTTCCGTGACGTGATATCTTACAAAGCTTACAAGTGCTTTGTTTTTGCGTGTGTTTCTTTCAGGGTTTAATGTGCAAGCAGATGACAAGAGAAGGGAAGCTGAAGAAGCTATGAGGAGGCTACCAATTATCAGCAACATGGTCTCAAGTGCCAAGGACAAGACTGACCGAGCTGAAGCAGTCCTAGGCAATGCTGCTTCCGAATCAAAGACGGCCAGCAGCAATGCAGCAGAAGCAAAGGAGATCACCAGTGGGATTCAGCAGGTAAGGGCGGGCCCTGGTGCTATTGCTGGCAGAAAAGGATTTGGAAAGAAAAACCATGGAGGAAAAGAGGATGTGGCTGCAGACTCTAGAGGCTGTGGTGGGCCTGATCCCTTTACTCTTTATTGAGTTTGTCTGTAATGGATCCTGCAGAGATTCCCGAGTTACCTGTAAATGAGTTAGCCTAGGCCACGGGAGCATGGGGATCTCTGCAGGCAAAATTGTCCCTTAGAGATCTCTGTGGCATATCACTGCAGCCACCTCTCTGTTACCCAAGGAGGTTTCCCATAAGTGCCCTTGCCTGTCATTTCCACAGTTTGAGCACCAGAGGTAGCTGTCAGGTTTATGAGAGCCCAGAGGTGGGCTCACCCAGAGTGGTGAGTCCTGCTCCCAAACTGCATGTTGTAATTCTGCAAGGACTCACTGGTGTATTCTGGAGAGGTGGCCATGATCACAGAGGCAATTCTCAGCACCAGCGGCGGGGGAGTGCACATGAAGGACGTGAGCAAGCCTGGGATATTCTGGGTCCCAGGGGCCTGTTGAAGGAACCACTTTTCCCCAGCTCCACACCCTGGTGCACGCAGACTTGATTTCAGCAGCACTTGGCCCCTCTGAGAATGCCTTGCCTTCCCTAGGCAATTGCGCAGCTGAAGGTGGAAACCAACAGGACGGCTGATGGAGTCCTAGCCCTGGAGAAGGCAATCGCCACCTTGCAGCGTGAGGCCAAAGAAGTGGATGGTGAATTTGAAAGGAAGGTTTCAGAGGTTGAAGCAGATGCCACTGTGATACAGGAGGTGTGTCCCTGTCTCCCACTCCTGCCCCTTCCCTGTTGATGTTTGAGTGACACCTCACCTTATAGCCACCACCTTGCTTTTTGCAGACAGCTCAAGAGGCTCAGAGCGCCCACGCCAAGGCTGGCCAGGCAGGGGTGGCTGTGCAGGAGACACTGAGCGCCCTGGAAGAGCTGCTGCGTCTGATGGGTGAGTTTTGCTACGCTGCTGTAGGATGTAGCTGAAGTTGGGCTACCGTTGGGGTCTAGGCAGGGGCTGCTGAGAGCTTCTTTCCGCTTTGCTGTGAGTCTAACCAGGTGAGACTGGTGAGATGTGCAAGGAGTCCCGTACCTCCCTTTTAGGTAGAGGGACCTGTGTACCTGGCCTCTCATAGAGGCTGAGAATTAAGCTCTGATTGCTGGAGTCTCAAGGCCTTATCTACAGGCCAACCCTTTTTTTCCCCTGCCTGACTGGGTCTCGTGGCAAGAGGTTGATGTTGAATGCAGACACCCACCCCGTCTTACCTGCTCCGTTAGCCTGGTGCAACTTCACAGTTTAGGGCCAATTCCACTCCCCAGAAATGCAGTGTCCTGTCACAAAGGCAGTCGGGAATCTAACACAAGCCAAGCAGCCAAATCCAAAAGTGTTTTGCAGAAAGCTGCCTCAATAGCAGTAGCTGGGAGACTGAGGGCTGGGCAGCAGGATGAAGCTGAAGCATCTAGAAAGATCTAGTTCTCGGCCTCCATCCATGGTTTCCTCTTCCTTGTTTTCCTCCTGTGCAACAGACCAGCCTGGTGCTGTGGATGACAAAGACCTGAACCACCTCGAACGGACTCTTGGTAAAGCAAAGACCAAGAGGAACCAGTTGAAGGAACAAATGTTGGGGCTGGAGCAAACAGCCACACTGCAGAAGCTCCGGGTGCAGACACTGGAGAGGAGCATTGAGGACATCCTGGCAGATATTAAGAACCTGGAGGATATTCAGAAAAATCTTCCTCCTGGCTGTTACAATACAAAAGCTATCGAACTACCTTGAGTGGGCTCTGGAAAGACTGCGGCGCATGTCAGGCTGAAAACAGGAGAGCCTGGCCCAGTTGCTCTCCTCAAACCTGGCAGGACCAGCCGCATTTGATTCTGTTGAATTTAACCTTACACTTGAGTTCAACATGACAGCTGAAGTTCCCATCATCACACTGGTTCCAGAGAGTCCCCGATTTTCAAAACTGTCCGTCCCTTGGTTACAGGAGGAAGGAGATGCCTGGTTGTGTAAAGGTGCTACTGACTGAAGAATAGCCCATTCTTACAACAGCTCCTTCAAGGCATAGATGGGGGCTGCTTGGTGCCACTCTTGGGAGTTTGCAGGGTCTCTACCCCACCCCTTGTGGATCCCCTCTCGTAGTCTAGCACAGACGGAGGGACTGGAGTCTCTCTCCTTACTGTCCGTACTTGCGTGACCTGTTCCTCCTCAGATTCTCCTGCAGGGTCTTCCTTACCTTTTGCAACCCAGCAGGTAGGGAATGAACAGTGTGAAGCAGGAGTTCAGGTGAGTCTCAAGCCATGGAGCTGGTGATAATTCATGTAGCTTCCCAGAGGGTCCAGTCCTGTCCTCGGTGCAAGTGGTGCTGGCACAGTTTTTGCTGTGGCTTAGACTAGTCAGTGTCAGATGCCACTGTGACCCTTTTTGTAAAACTTCAGGTCTTCCACAGAGCTTCTCAGTAAGGTGGTTACTCTTTTTCTAGAGGAAAAAGATAATGCTAGTTGGTCTTGAGCTCAGGGTGACGTGCTAGATGGAGGAAGAAGGAGGATCTGATGCGAGCAGGTTGCTGGAGGGAGGGATGGAGAATTGCTAAGGTCCCTCAGATGGGTGGAACAGGAAGGACTTACCATTTCCTTTACCCTGTAAGAAAGGGCACCTTTTCATCTTTCTCCTGCGTTTCTTTTTGAACCTGTTGACTGACAGCCCTTGAAGGATGGCTTGCTTGTCAAAGCTACTTTTTGGCAACAGCAGGTCTGCCTAGCATCCCCATATATACGTACACACAAACACAACCCTTTCTTCCAAGGTCAGTCAGTTCGGTACCAGGCAGCCTCCTGGATGCCCCTGAGCCCATGAAAAACAAGTTCCTCTCTTCCGCACAAGCACCAGAGATGCAGTGGCACTTGTGACAAGAGCAGGGGCTTTCTTCCAGTGATTGCAGCCAAAAGTACTGGTGTTTGAGGGTTTGGGCCCAGCCTGGTGGATTGCCAGCATCCTAAGTTGAAAAATGTCCTAAATATGTCTCCACTTCCAGTTCGGTGCTGTCTGTTCCTTCCCCTCCCTCATAGGTGGTGTTGGATGTTTCACTGAGAAAACTCTAGAGCTAAAGTAACTGTGTGTAGATCTTTGTTTGGGTTTTTCTGTTGTAAATCTCTCCTGATGAGAGCTTGGAGGAGCTATGACGTTCCCTTCATCCATCTTATGTTTTCTTGTGGGTTCAGCTCCATTTTGACAGCATTTCCAGCTTCCTTTTGGCGCCACTTCATGGAAGAGAGCCTGGGGGTAGCAGATGCTGACGGAACTCTGCTGAAGAGCCCTGACCTGCCTGGTGATGAGAGGACTGGACTAAAGGAGGACTCCAAGACTAAAGGAGGAGGACGCTTTGGGGATGAACTTATCCGTTGTTAGCTTTGATTCTCTGACAAAGCGGTGCCAATGTTTTTGCTTGATGAGGATATACTGAAGAATTGCATGTGTCATACTTTTATTTAAGTGATATATAGTTTTGCCTCTGGCACGTTTTCTTTCTCCCATTGCGCAGTGTAGGATAGGTATTGTGGATGTGACTTTGTTTTCCCTTGAGTTGGGTTTTTTCAGGGGGAGGAAGTCAATAAATAATGAATATTTTTGGCTGGATCTTGCTTACTGGTCTGTTTTCTCTAGCTGTGTGTTTTGGGGTGGTCTGGAAGGAAGCAGGATGAGACAAGGAAGGGCAGCATGGGTGCGTGTGGCTGTCAGTTCTCCCAGCAACGCAGCAGCTCCTGTTCTCCATGCTGACTTAGTCTTGGGGCTGGTTTGACACAGACATTAAGGGATCTATTTGGGGAGATCTGAGGTCAAACGAACCCTTCAGGGAATGATTCTGTGTCCTACGTTGCAACATCCACCTCAGACCTCAAGCTCTTGTGGGCAGATGGTGCGTTAGCAGAGCGCGTGAGCCCAGACACCTCTCCTCCTGGCATTGCTGCCCAGCTCTCCCATGGAAATTCTTGTTGCTCGTGTTGAGAAAGAAGCACTCTTAACTTTCTTCTTCTTTAGGTAACAACAGCGAGTGTGGGTGCTTAGTCCGGCCTCCTTCTAGGAGCTTCTACTTGGCTCCTTCCCGTAGCAGACGAGTTTGATGCCAGGAGGAGCCAGTTGGATGTGATCACAAAGGCCCGAGAGGAGCTCAGAGTTGCATTTCATGAGGCTGCACGCTCTCCCTGCTGGAAATGGCTGTGAAGCGAGTGCAGCAGGTTATCCTCAATGTGCCCAGTGGAAGAGAGGAGCGGGGAGGCTTCTCTGCCTGACACAGCAGCAGCGAAAGACAACACCAGTAACAACATGGGTTTTTTTGTTCTTGTTTATTACATAATTTAAACATTTTGCTGATAAAGTTTTTTTGTCAATGACCATTTTTTATACAGCAACAGAAGAAAAAACTAGGCTCCAAAACCTTTCACAAAAGTGGAAATCAGTGACATGACAACTTCAACCCTTTTCCCTCCCCCCCCTTTTTTGTCAAAAGGTGTTTGAAGTTCATTTCTCTTTCAGCAAATTGCACTGTTTAAAATTGCAGGTTCAAAGACCAAAACCCAAGAGCTTCTTCCCACCCCCACCCGTACACTGGAAACCCCATTCCTCATCTACCCATGGGTTGCATGGATCTTGAGGGATGGTTTTTTTCATACCCACTCAAAGACCTTTTCCAAACCAACCCCAGAGTTCACCAGTCTGTTACAAACCCCCCTCCCTCCCCATCCTCGCCCTGAACGGTGAGTTTTACTGAGCGGATATATGAAGGTGTAGGTAAGACTAGTAAGACAGAATATATTCATCATCCATATCACAACGCTATGTCTCTAAGGCATGCCGTCCTAAACATGATGAGATTGAAAGCCAGCTGGCTTCCCGTATGTCCCATCTCGTTTACCTGAGGGAGGCGGGGGGTGGGGTCTGAGCTCTTTCAAATTCTTAGACATGCTGCCTTCATTCCTCTTTAGTCTCTTTTTTTTTTTTTTTTCCTTTTTGTTTTTTCCTCAGTTAAAATCCACTCTCCTTCCTCCCTCTTCAAAGATGATTCACTCCTCCGTAAGGTTAAAATCCCTTTGTGTGTGTTGGAGGTTGGTTTCTAACATTGCTTTCTCTCCTCCAGCTTGGAGCTAAGAAACATGGGTGACTTCTGGCAAGGAGATGAGGCTGTTGTCTGAGATAACTTCTGTGTTGAGATGGAGAGGAAAGACTGAAAAACTGAACGCACAGGACAGTAAGAACAACGGATTTAGAGGAGTCTAGCTACTGGCTTACATATGCTGAGTGTTGTACAGATGAGAGATGTTGTCCCGCTGTGGGCACCTGCCCGCTGTGTTAGCTAAGGGGGCTCAGTGGGATGTTAGTTAGCCGCTTGTACTCACTGAAGACATCCCTGGAGAAGAGGTGTCCCTGCACACCGATTCTATACTCTCTCGACACCCTGTCTGGTTTGGTGTCTCTGTATTTCCTCACCCCTCCAGATATATTTACAGCTGCTGGGAGATATCAGAGCTGGAGCTGCGGGATTCAGCTTGGTTTGGGCAAGCTGCCAAAATTGCCCTTCATGAAATGACCACAGCAGTTTCTGAACTAGTCCCTCCATGCCAAGGGAAATCCCCAGCAAGTAAAGGCTATGGGCAGCAGCCGGGAAAAGCCCCTGGCCTTTCCGTATGGGGCAGCTATGGGCAAATGCTCTGCTTCGCAGCAAATCAAATGCTTTGCTTTGGGCAAGTCCCTTCCGTAGTGTGTCTCACGCTTTCCCTTCTGGGAAGTGGCAATAACCTCCTCGGAGGAGCTGTTAGCTACTGCTTGTAAGGCCCCGCACACCGCAAGGAATTTATGCGTGTGGGTTAGGTTGTCTTTCCTGAAGTAGTGTTTGCTGTTACAGAGATGCTTGCTGCCTTTACTGGAGCGGGCTGTAACAAATTCACAGCACACAGGGCAGCTGTATTCAGCAGGTCATCAAATTTAGTGCAATGTCTTGTCTTTGAAGCTTCCATTAGAGCAGTTTGTGACCCTCTCTAGACTTCAGAGGGGAAAAAAGAAAAAAACTGATGTAACTTAAGGTCTTCTCTTGGAACACCCTGGAGGACGCTCAGCCTTCAGGGGTGTGAGTACAGCACTGTCCCTTGGCACTGGCCAGTCACAGCACTTCACTGGGAAAGCCGAAAAGCCACCAAGCCAATGCGGACAGCAGTTATGCTTTGGGACAGGGCTGTGATGGGGCTACCCTAAACCTAGTTAGTCCAAGTTTATGGAGAATGGGCAGATGTCAAGGAGGTATAGACAGGAGGGCTAATCCCAAAGAGATATACAAGGTTAGAAGGAGCAAAGGGATAGGAAAAGGTGAAGAGTAAAGCAGGACTGTACCTTCCTCCTTTCAGCTATGATCTTTCCAAGAGGCTGTGTTGTCAGGATAAGCAGGGGACTGTAGGTCCTTGCGCTCTAGAGATACACAGCAAGTGCAACAGCCCACTTCAATAACCCTGGTCTGCGCAAGACTTGAACACAATTTTCTATTGCAACATGTTACCTGCCCTGGTTTTAATGCAAACTTCTCCACTAGGCGCCTTTCCTGGCATTTCGCCCCATGGGTTATAGACAGGAAAGCAGGAGATTGGTTTGTCCCAAGGGAGGTTTGAAGTTTCCAAAGCCAATTTGGGAGGGGGAAAATATCATGCATTTAATGAACTCTTTAAGGACAGGAAGATAGGAGGAACGAAGGGCAAAGGGGGAAGTTTACAGATAAAATGAAGATCTGGAGGCAAGAAGGAGGAAGATGCTGGGACGTCTTTCCTGGGATGGGATTAGAAAGGAGCAGCTTATGTCTTTTGGAGCAGCAGACTTCTCCTGAGCTCTGTGCTCTACCGTGCCAGTGCCCGCAGGGTAGTAAGTTCAGTAAGCTCCAGCTGCGTCCGTAGCCCTGTGACTTTCTTCAATTACGGCTGAGCTATCGCTATGATCTGCCGCCTTTTCCCCCTAGTCACGCCCGAGGGATAGCCTGAGGTGCAGAAACAAAATGCGCTGACTTACTGGAGTTCAGCCCCGATGTGCCAGAGCCATCAGCATCTCCTGTCCCTGCCGCATCCGTTGCCATGGGACGATGCTACAGGATGGACCCAGCCCCTACAAAACTCATAGTCAGGCTTGGGGGCGATTCTGGGCAGTGGCTTTGGGTCACTGGTTACTTACTCCCTTTGTTTACTCCCTTTTCTTCCTCCCTTGCTTCTTGGCCTAGTCAACGGCGGGTCCCTTTCTAGGTGCTGGGGGCTGCCCCTCTGATGGGAGGCTGGAGTTAGAGCATCACCTCAGCTCTGCTTGTCTAGGGGATATCTTGGGGTGAGTGGATTTATTTGCAGCCAAGGAAAGATGAGGCGTGGTGTTCCTGCCCCACTAAATACATCTTTGGCAGAAAAGCTTGCTAAAGTCTCTGTTCCCCTCCAAAAACACCATCTCAGTGATTTTTCAAGGCCAGGGGAAGGATGTCAGTAGCAAAGTTGTCCCACTGCTGGCCTGAGGAGGTCTGCCTGCCATGGGGCGCTGAGCCAATCGTGTTAGACCTGCCCACTACCAAACGCAATTTGTTTAGAGGTGGGTCATCAAGTCGAGAGGCCAAAGGGGCTCACACTAAAACTATTAGTAAAAAGATCTACCTAGATTTATTGAGCTGATGTGCCATAAGATGATGCAAAAGAAACGTCCCCGCTCTCGAGCATGCTGGGAGGATGGACAGGGGGACTGTTTCCCAGTGGCATGCTGGGAGGGAGGATGTTGGAGCTGCCTCCCCTGAAGCAGACTGAGCACATCTCTATTTTACTGGTCGCCTCCCTCCTGGCATACGAGGGGGAAGGCAGTACCCCAAAGAGACCAAACCGTTCCCCTTTGGTCTGTGCCGCCGTTCCCTGGACTTTCCTGCACTATGGAGCGTTGGCGCCGGGAGTGAGAGGCAGACACGGGCAGGAGGCCATGAGAGAGAGGGACACACACAGAGAGAGAGAGAGAGAGGAATGTGATGGAGAGTTGTAGGGAAGTGGGACAACAGGGCTGTCTTGCTGCGAGGCCCCTGGCTCTTAACCAGAGGCGTTGATGTAGAGCTGGCTCTTGAGGATGTAGTCAATGACGGGCTGACATAGGTAATCCACGACATGTCCGTCCCCGTGCTGCAGGGCCAGTCTGGGGAAACGGGGAAGGCAAGAGAGGAGAAGGAGTCAGAGCTTGCCTGGGTAAGGGCTGGGGGCCCATATGGGAGGCAGGTCTGGCACCGGCGGGCTCCGGGGGCGCCCGTTACCCTATGTCTGGTGGTTGTGCGAGCACTTGGCTGCCCTGGCTGTGCATGCTCACGTGAGTGCGCTTAATGTATTGCTGGGGAGCTGTTGGGCTGAATGACCCTGCGGGGAAAGCAAGCAGGTACCAGGAGAAGCGACCATTTCGGGGGCAGGTGTAGGATGTGGGGGGCTCAGTGCCCCAGGCCTTTGGTTGCCCTCGGGGTGGTCCTCCTAGGCATTAGGTGTTGCTGGCTGGGAACTGCTCAGACACACGGCAGGGGAGGCTGGGCTGAGGGCACCCCTCTCCCCCCATAGCAGGAGCCCTTCTGCCTCACGCACCTGCTTTTGGTTGAGCTGACGACCGACATTGGGTGGTTCGAGTCGTCTTTCACCACCAGGATGTTGTTCTGTGGAGGAAGAAGAAAGAGAAGGAAAGGGAAGCTCCTCGTAGCAGGCTCTTGCCCCACCAGGCACAGCTCTGCCCAAGGACGGCCTGGTGCCCCAGGCTGGTCTTGGGCTGCCAGGCAGGGGCCGTGACTTGGTAGCCCCGGTGCTAATCCCAGTTGAAGGCTGGGGTGAAGCCAGGGCCTTTGAGAGCAGCCTGGTCCGATGCTTGGTGTGTCGCGTCCCCAGCTGCCAGGCTGGGTGGCACTTGGGGGCTCCCATTCTGTCTCACGAGAAGATTTTGCCTTGTGAAAGCGGGGCAGTGAAGCCCAAACGCCTGCCCAGGTACAGAGAAGCTGAGGATCCCCTTGTGGCTTTCCTCAGCCACAGGCATGGTCCCGGCTTGTGCGAATCCACTTACTTTGTACTTGCGGAGTATTGAGGAATGGTTCATGATCCGGTCGGGGTCTGCTCCGTCCCGTGGCACTACCACGATCCCGAACTCCCCAACAATCACCTCCATCTAGGACCAACGCAGACAGCGGAGGCTTCTTTTTATAACATCCCAGCACAAAACAAGGCAGACACAGAGACTTACTGCCTGCCAAAACACCCCTGAACCAAGCTATGGGCTCAGTGAAACGTTAGCGATGATTTGAATGGAGCTAGTCTCTAATTTACTTTCTTTCTGCATAGCCTCTGGCAGAAACACAGATTTATTAAGGGGTGATAGTGGCGACACAATCTCAGTGGTTTGTGGTAGATAGAATAAAAAGGAGTAGGATTAGGTCCTACCAATGGAAATTCAGGTTAGGCTTTAGGAAGAATTTGTCATGATAAAAGCAGCGTGGCTCTAGAAGAGGTTGCCTGACAAGGACGTGAAATCTGCCCCACTGGAAGGGTTTAGGAACAGGATGGACATGTTGTTCCTGGTAGAGGTCTAGGAGAGCTGTCCCTGCCTCGGGCAGAGAAAACTTTGGTTTTGCATCAAAGCTGCTGAGGAAGGAGTTTCCAGGGGAGGTGATGGGCCCTGATCTGCCCGTTTTCCCTCGTGTGCAGGCGACTGCCACTGCTCTCACCAGTCTTTGGACAAAACATGCTCATCCTAAATAGTTCTAGTTCAGCAAATTTAGAAAGCAGGAGCCCATGAGGCAGTCCTGGAGCTGGATGCCATCTCTACATGTTCTTTGACACGCACCTTTCACGTCCTTTGCCCTGAGCTTCAAGACCTGTTTTGTCTCAGATTTTCTGCCTTTCAGAGGAGGTATCTGCCAGCTAATTAGGATTAATAGCAGCTGGTGTTGGAAATAGTAGAGAGATTTAAGGATGCTTAAGGTTAGGGAGCTTTCTGAGCTATGGAGGAGGCAGACAGCTGAACCAGGCATGTTCACTTGACATCCATTCAGCCCTGGTTCTATTTATTTATGCATCGTTTAATTTATGAATTTATTGTTATCCCTGAGATGATGCTCTGTGGATCTCTGTGGCCAGGTTTTCATCAGGCTGGAAGGAAAGAGGTTTCTTAGCAACCTGGAGGTGATGTATGGATCCCTACGATGAGGTCCTCACCAGAACGGGGAGGATGGTGTTTCCTAGCAACCTGGAGCCATATGGATTGGTCTGGCCAAGTCCTTAGCTGAGAAGAAAGGAGGATGGTTCTCTGAACCTGGAGATGGTGCTTTTTTTGTTTTTTTTTTTTCCCCCTGGAAACAGACACTCCCTCGACTGTCTAATTTTAGTGAAGAGCCAGATCAGATCCCACAGCTCAGCACCATTTTGACTGCTGTGAGCAATATGCTTTCACTGGCATGTGTAAGAAGCATCTTGTCCAGCTGGCTGAAGCATTTTTCATTTCCAGCAGTTCTCTGCTACAATCCTAGAGCACTGTAGGGAATGAATGAGTCAGTAAACCAACTTTTCTCCTTAAGGCTCCTTTCCTCCTGTGAAAATACTACTCTTTTAAACAGGGACAGCAGTATCTGGAGTGAGCTGACCCTGTTACTGCCTTAGTCATCCACACATTTGACTGGAATTGCAAGGGTGGGAGTACGGAGTGGGAGGCAGCGTTTTTACTCCATGTAAGTTGTGGCAATGAACTTGAGAAGGGCTCTCGGTGGCCAAGTTTGGTGGCATTTCAGGGCATTTAATTAGGCCTAAATCCAAATATTTTGGGAGTATAAGTGCCGACGTGAGCAACGAAACATAGAGCTAGGCACCTTCATGGAGGTGCTTGCATTGGCAGGGGACGTACTTTGTTGCCTGTGGTGGGTTGATCCCCCTTTGCAAGGGAGGGGGAAAATACCTTCGGGGGGTTTTTTTACTTTGCAGTGCCTTTGCTGTTGTTTATCCTGAGACAGCAGGAAAACAGGGAGCTCATTTCTGAGATTTGGATGCGGTCGCAGGTTCTCCCTGTTGATCTCACTATAGCTGCATGTGTGGTTGGTTTCCTTGGGGCTCACCTATGAAGTGGCTGGGGTTGGGGATCATCTGGACGAGTTTTCGAGACAAAGTTGAAAAGACTTGCCTTCCCATGGATGCTGGAGTGCGTGTACTGGCCTTGCCCATGCCAGTGGGTGCCTCTTTCCTGTGTGTTTTTATTTCTCCTTTCTACCAGTCTCTTCTGACGGTCAGTCAAACGCGCTCAGTGAGTTCGTCATCTTCTGTGGAAGCTGCTGTGATCCTGACGGACTCTTTCTAGTGACCACACAGTTTTCTTATTCCCATCTGTATTGGTTTCACATTCCTTATTCAAAGTTCCCAGCACTGATTCTGCTTTCTGCTCCAAATGTGCTAAGGATCATATTAATTTGATCCCTATAGGTGCCGTGAAAATATTACTTCACTCAGTTTGGACTTGTGAAATAAGTCAGGTTTTTTCACTTCTTGGTCTCCGTAAAGATGGATGTTTGGGTACCTAGCACTGCAGGAAAGGCCTCTGATTAAGAGGATGTTATTTCAAGTTGGTTTTAAATGTCTTTAACTTCTAACATCAGGATAACACCTCTTATGATGACTTTTGTAAACCTCTTATTTCCTGCTTCCGCACTCCACTCTGTTAAGACTTAAATGGGCTTAATGCCATCTGCTCATAAGAGAAAACGAGTGGGAGCGCATCCTTTCAAAATCCCTTAGGAAAGGTTTACCCTGCAGCAGCTGCAACCTTGGGGGACTCTCTCTGTCCTCTGGGTGAAGGTGGTGAGAGAAGCAGATGTGAACAGAAACAGGGTTTAGATCTAACCTGACAGAAGGTTGAGCTGGTTGTGTGGATTGGACACGGAAACCCCCTGTCACTCAGGCTGGCCCGTGTGGCAGGGAGAAGGAAGGGTTTGGGTTCGGGTTGGGGTTCAGGGAGCCGTGGGGATGGCAGTACCCAGCTCCTGGTTTCCAAAAGGAGCTGATCAGGCACTCAGGAAAGCTGTGTTTTGGGGAAGGTTATGGTAGGGGAAAGCAGAGACAGAGGAGTGAAGGCTGGGAGAAGGGGAGCAGAGAGGGGCGCGCAGCAGCCACTCACGTCAGCCTCGTTCCAGAGACCGGGGATGCAGAAGGACTCCAGCAGGTCGCTGCCGCACAGCAGTAAGATGCGAAGCTCTGAAGAAAAGAAACAGAAAAGCTCAGAGGTGGGAGCCGATTTGCACCCTCGCACATAAGACTGAGCGGACACCCCAAAGGACTCTCTGGCTCTGGAGGGACCTAGCGCACGTGGAAACCAGCACCAGTGGAAAGCTGCAAAACCGCTCAAGTAAGGAGGAGCGAGAAGAGGCCACAGCTAGCGCAGACTGCCCACCCCAGCCCTTTCTCCCACACGTGAAGGTGCCTTCCCTGGTTTGGCGTTTGTAGGCGGCCTTTGGGCTTCCTGTGGTGCCGTCATTAGGAGGTACCTCTGTTCTGAAAGCTTCCTGGCTGCTTGCTTGAAGGGAAAAGTGCTAACTGATGAACCAGGGCTTAGAAACTCTAGCAAGCTGCCGGTGGGCCAGTCTCCGCTGGTAGAGCCCAGCGTGACTGATGGAGGCGTAAGGGGCATTGCAACACGGTGAACCGGTATGAAACAGCTAATTGAAAGAGGTGCTGGGGCTCCTTGGGGCCAGAGAGCCTCTGCTGGGCTAAAGGCAGGGAAAGTCGCTCCGGCTGCTGCTGCAGGCAAAGCTCTGCAGGGTGGTGAGAAACGCGAAGATGTTGGTCATTTGGCACCAGGTGCTGGCCCAGATCCTCTTTGGGACCTCTTGGGGGTCTGTGTCTGCCTCTCTGCTAGTGTGACAGCCAGCCTCAGTGGGGTCCAGCAGGGTGTTGGGTCCCCTCACCATGGGCCCCAGTGCGTGCCATGAAGGGGGTGAAATAAACCTTTCGAGGAACATGCTATATCTTGTACTGGAAGCTCGAGGGTAGGTTTCACAGTCCTCGAGGTGACTTTTAGGGCCCTCGGCATTAATGCAATTGGCATTACATCGTGGCAAATCAGCGCTGGAGCTGGGAATCGGGTCCCCTGCCGCTTGGCCCCTGGTTTTTTGCTGCTTCTCTGAGAGGGAGAATTGGCTCAGGACAGCTTCGTGTGGCTCCTGCTCCAGCCCTGAGCCCAGATGGCCGGCACCATGGGGAGGTGACGGTCCAGCATCCTTCATTTGCCACGTAATTTCTTATGTGGCTTTGGCCCCGAGGAGCTGGAGCAACACATCAAACGAGGAAGGGGCTGTGTACTCACCAATCTCCTCGTATCTCATCACTGTCCCCAAGTTCGCGTTTTCATCTGGGAGAAAAGAAGAAGAGAGGTGCTAGCGTCCCAAGCTCCTCAGGGCGCCAGGGTGGCTCGTTAGCTGTCGCATGGGGTGTTGGGTCAGCCCCTTGGAGCAGTCAGAAAAAAGGGACCGAACCCCACTTCCATGCACCCCTGCCCTGCCTGTGCCTGGCACTGCCCAAGCTGTATCAAAGATTACAGCGACCACTCGTGTCTGTACAGCCGGGCACCGCGTGGCCACGCTGAGCATCAGGCTCACTGGGGCCGGCAGTGGCTGAGCCGAGGGCCGGACTGGGCCCCGGTGCTGGTGAGCCGCGGGAAGGCTCACGTCACCTGACTGTAGCTGAATTTGGGCACTGCAGGTTTTGGTGCAACTCTGGCCCAAAAGGCAGCGCATGGGATCCAGGTCCTCGCCATGAGGTGGGACAGGGGAGGAAGACTAGGGCCTGAAGCAGAAGCAGGGATGATGCTGGGTGTTTCCCCATACCTACCCACAAAGGTGAAGCGCTCCATTGGTGGGCGAACACAGCAAATCCGACTCAGGCTTTCTCCCACCTTCCCTAAGATCTTTGCTAAAGGTCAAGAAGAAGAAAAATAAATTGGAGAAAGGCTGCTTCGTGGCCGACCTACCAGCCCAAAGTGCTGCTGGCCGCACTAATCCTGCGAGATATTCCCGTGCACGGGAACCTCTCTCCCCACTCCCCATCCCCATTGCAGACAGCTTAGTCTTAATTCTCAGGGGAAAGCAACACCATGCCTTTAAGAGACCTGCTAGACAGCTAAAATCACTACAAATTACCAGATGTTTGGTTTTTATGGGATTTCAGTAATTTCCTTTGCCCTCCCCTTCTCCCTAGCTCATACTTCAATGTCCCACATCCCCCTCTGTCACTGGGGATACAACTTTGTTACCTCTCCTGCTAACCGTTCCCTTTGCAGGCACACCTTAAGAACGAAATATCCTTTCTCTTCATTGGTCTATCTGATTAGACATCATCAAATTAAAGTCGAGCGCAACTTCACAACCATTTAAAGCCATTCTGAGTTCCCGTTGAGGTCCTAGTTGGTAATTCCTCCTCCCCCCTGGCCTTGGATCCCTCTGCCCTGGGGCTCGTGCAATGAGTCTAACAAGAGACCTGGCCCGAGTAACCCCCAAATTCAAATGATTATTTTTCATCTGGAGCAGTTGCCTGCTCTGACTTGCTGTGTGGCCACACAAATGCAGAGGGGAAGGGCAGGAACAGGTAGTCAGGAGAGCAGAAGGAGCTGGACTAGTTTTCACCAGGATCATGGGCATAGGTCAACTTAATATTATTGCGGAGGCGTAGAAATCTTTTATTTACAATGGGGGAATGTTTCGCCTCAACCAAAACTAAATGGCAGTTGTGAGGGGTGGGGAAGTGTCTCTCGCTGAGCCCAGAGACCCTGGGCTTGTGAAGTATGAAAGTGCCCTACTCTTTTTCCATTTCTAGGGGTGCGGATGCCCTGAAAGACTGAAACGAGGATGAGGGAAACGGGTGTGTTTGGCAAAAGGGGAAGATGTGCTTCACCATCAGCAGTGAGAGGAGGAAGAGAAGGAAGACCTCCCGGGAGCTAACGAGAGGACTCGACCCAAATGAGCGTGAGTTTGGCAGTTTTAGAGGGGAAGGGCAGGGTAGGCAGCTGCCTCCTCCTCTCCCTTTGCCTGCGAGACCTACCTGCGGTGGGCTTGTTGGAAACGGTGTTGTTGTTCTGGTAGATGGGCTGTGGAGACTCGTTCTGGGGCTGTCCGATCACCGGGGTCATGGAGGGGGTGTTCACATTGGAGAGGATGCAGCCCGTCACTCTCTGCAACAGGGGAGAGAGGTGTAAACCCATCGATTTACATATACCCTAGGAGTAAACCTGGCCTCTTCTGACTCCTCTGTGGCCCCTGGGGTTGCACGAGGACCGCAGGCATCCCGGGCAGCACCCAGTTCAGAGGCTCCCTGTCTCCTACGCCAAGTTCTCCGGCAGTCACAGGCATCCTGCTAGGTCAGCTGATGTTATTTGGAAATAAAGCTCAAACAAGAACTGTGAGTCGCACTGCATTTGCCCCTCGTTGCATGGAGACACGGTGTCTTTGGATATTTTTCCCCGTGAATTTGTCCCGTTGCTTCTTGAAGCGGTGTGAACTTTCAGCATGCTGCAGCGAGGAGTCCCACGCCTACGTGCGCAGCTCGGCAGCTCCTCGTGGGAAGATCCCTTAGTGCTGCTCAGCGCAGCCAGCGTCCCCGATCCCATGACAGGGAGCAGCCGCTCTGCCCTGCATCCCCTCCAGGCACATGCTGCACGCGCACCTACGCTCTGCCTTGCCCAACAGCCTACTTACTGTCTTCTTCAAGCCCCAGTGCTTGCTGGCTGTGTGGCCTCCTATCCCTGCAAGCTGCCACCTTCTCCTCTTTCCAGTCCCTTCTCTTTGGCTCTGGGTAGGCTGCCTGTAAGTTTGTATTACGCTATATTTTACTGTTTTTTTTTCACTTATCCTTGGTTTGTTCACTTTATCTAAACATTGGCAGCTCCCTTTACATCTCTCCCTGCCCTAGTGGTTACCGCAAAGGGAGTCTCGCAGCCTCCTGGCTCTTGGGGCTACCTGGGCATTTCAAGAGACTTCTCCTGAAATCTGTATTCTCTGGGGATTTTCCAGCTCTTGAATTTTGCTGGCTTGCTGAGTCACTCCTACTGGTTAATGCAGCAGTTTTGGATCTGCTGAGCTGTTCAGCTGATAAGCAGGGACTCTTTTCTCTCTCCTCTTTCCCCTTGGGATTGAGTGAGTTGTCAGGATTAATAATTTAGCTTACAGCTAACCCCTGTCACCCTGTTTTGACTTGTGCCCTGCTCCCGATCTGCAGGGCACTTGGGCAGGTGCTGTCTCTAGCTGGAGGTGGTGCTCGTTTGAGTTGCGGTGGGATCAGAGCCATACCTCCCTTTTTGCCTCGTTAGCATACATGAATGTTTTGGTGACCCTTTCCTCAATCAGTTTTTGGAAAGCAGTGAAGTTCTGCTTTAAATGACATATTTACCCAGTCCCTGGCAATCAACTGCTCCTTTATAAAGAGCAAAAACTTGACTGTTTCCTACTTACTGGGAATGACGTGAGGACCTAATGCAAGAGGCCTGTTTTGCTTTTTCCGCCAGGGAAGGAGTACAAAAGGGGTGGGATAAGGTATTTTGTGCACTCCTTCCAGCTGGGAATTTCAGGTGTGATTCTGCAACTGTTGTTTCAGTCCATCCCAGCCGTAGACTGGTCTTTGCTCATCCACGTGTCGGTGTGAGACCACCAGCTTGATGGTGTTGGATGGCATTTGTGTTAATGCCTGTGCCACCCACGTTCCCCTCTGCGGCCACCCTCCCCGGGGGGCACCAGCGGCTTCAGGGCTGACTCACTTTCATCAGGTCGCGGTGGTGCTCCAGCACGCTGCAGGTGGTCTGCCAGGTGTCCTGGTAGCACTCCCAGGGGTCCACCCTGTGGGGAGCACAGCAAGGCAACAGCGTTGGCTAGCGGCTCCGGCTCCGACCTCCTCACCTCGCAATCTCCCCCGCTGCTAGGAGCAGCCCTGCTTACTCTACCAGGTGCCACATCCTCCCTCCAACCGTCCCCCCGCCTCTTCCCAGTGGCTTTGTCCCTGTGCGGGCAACAGCTGGGTCTGTTGGAGATGCACACCCCAGCGCATTTGGCTTTTTTTTTTTCTTTTTTTCACAAAAATGGTATTAAAGCAGGATGGAGGATCTGTAAAATGCTGTGGGTCCCTCCCTGGGCCTCTTCAGCAGAGGTCCCTGCCAGGCCTGGCGGAGCAGGAGCTTGGTGGGGACGGGTGAGGTGAGACGGTTGGGCACAGCCCTGCTCGTCGCCAGCCCGGCTCATGCAATGAGGCCTGACCGGCTCTCTGAGAGCAGATCTGGCAAACGCTGAGGCTGGGAAGCTGCTCAGGGTCCCGCTGCCATCTGCCCTCTCGAAAAGAGCAGGAGGAAATAGGGCGCCGAGAAGCTAGTCAGGTGGGATCAAGCAGAGAAGCAGGAGATGGGATCTCGTGCTTCCTCTGGAAACGAGCAGGACTTCGTTAAAGGATGATCTAAGGCCTGTCATTGGTTTTCTGCTCAACTAGAAGAAGAACGCCCTGCTTTTTAATGATGCTTTGGCTGGAGCAGGAAAAAGCTCAGCCGAGAGCTCAGGCAGCCAGAGGCAGCATGATGACTGGCAAAGTGCTGCCTGTGGGCTGCGGTGGCCCGACTTCATGTGTCCTGCACTCCCGGCCAAGCGGCCTTGCTGGTGGTGGGACAGCGTGTGCGTAGAAAGCGGCGCTGCCGAGCCCCGCAGGCTCGGGATCAAGCTGTCTCTTCTTCTCCTGCCCTCCCTTCTCCGTCCTTCCCTCCCTCCCTTCTCCGTCCTTCCTTCCCTCTCCCTCTGACGCTCTGGCAGTCCCTCCCTGTGCCTTGTCCCCGGCTCCGCTCTCCTCTGCACCCCCTTGGCTCCTCCGTCGCTGGCGAGAGCTTGTTTCCACCCTTTTGGCGTTACCCTCTCCTGAGCGGAGGAGGATTTTGCCGTGACCTGCAAAGCCCGCGAGGACTTTTGCTTTTGCCCGGATGCGCTCGCTCCCTCCTCCCCAGCAGCAGAGCCGTGACTCCAACTCCTCCTTCCCATGCAAATTATAACTTGGCCAGTGCATAATTAACCTAATTACCGGGGGCTTGCTTTAATTGCACCCTGCCTGCTTAGCTGATTGGGGTGCCAGCTACTGCGCGGGGAGCCTGAAGGGGATTTCGCTTTGGCAGCGGCGCTGGGCCCCGGCGGCTGCGGGGCGCGCAGGATCCTGACCTTGCCCCGGGG